GATACTGATTGTCCATCATGTGGATTCAGAGGAAGAGCTAATACATCAGCTGGGACTGCTAGGAGATGATAAAAGGCTTGGTGCACTGTCAGAAGCAATTACTAAATAGCTGTCCTACTTTTCCCTAGAGGAAAACTGCCTAAGCCCTCCACACAAACAGAGCATCTCCCTCGCATTACATCCAGCCCTGTAACATTGACAATACATGGGAATGACTKACTGTTGGGGAGAGAAACCTTGTAGTGTTTCCAAATAACCTCARGTATATCAAATCTTACATACAATACAGAAGTATTCATACTGCAAAATTAAAGCAAATGTTACCACTTATGCCCAATATTAGTGTGACTACTCTTTYAATACTGCATTTCAGCATATTGAAGTAACACATTTTACTTCTCCAAACTTCCCCCAAGTTTCAGTTCACCCCTTTCCAGAACACCGGGAACAGATCAAAAATAGCAGTTTAATAGCAATAGCAGCACCACAGATTAAAAATAGCAATTTAAATCCTTAAGGGATCATGATTTCCTTCATAAAACATGAGAAAAAGTCAGCATGGAGAAAAACAAAAGCATCTCCCCCTCCCCAAAAACTTTCACAGAACAGAGAATTTATCCAGAGATCCAGCTGGATTCAAAATTGCATACATGCCTACCTCTTATTAGCACTGCTCATTATACCAACATAGGATATCCCACATTATACATTATTTCATATGAGTGCCAAAAGCAAATAGCACAAAACATTCTGTCAAGGATTACATTCATACCAGGAATGCTTTCAAGAGTTCATTTTTTAAAACTAAAAAATCTACATCAGCCTAGAGTATGATTAAGAACAAAATTAACCTCCTTCAACAAATTAAGTACACTGTCCACACAAAGTAAAGACATTTTAACTATTTGATATGTGCTGACTTTTGTAAAATAAAATTTATTCTCCAATCATATTACACAGAAACCTCACTTAGCCTAGAGGTTTTCCTATAAAAACAGAGAAGGCAAGTTTGAAGTGATGACAAACAAGCTTTGGAGGAGATCCCCAAGTAATATCTCAGAAGARTGCCTCTGTTTTGAGCACAGACTTAGCAAATAAACATCACACTGGTCTACTTAGTGCAATATTTATCTTAAACAGCATTTGTCACTAACTAGTTYAACAAATAACCAGTGACTTTCTGTCACGCAGGAGCATGTTTCAGGAACCACTCAATAGCTCATGGAATAACAGGAGAATTTAGGTTAGAAARGACCGGYAGAGATCAAGATGACTAACTCATTTAAAAAAGCAGCTTCAAAAGCAGAACTGTTTGCAGTAGACAAAGCAGATTTCTATACAGATTCTTTATTTCATACACAAAGTTATGACTTGAGTTCTTCCTTTTCTGTGAGTTGTATCAACTACTGCATTTTAGTTTATCCCTTGCCATGACAACATTTTGCCTCACTTTTTTTTTTTAAATAGGCAGACTACTTTCAAATGTGGCATTTGCTTGAAGTGCAAGGAAAAAGTTTCAGTATTTTACAGATCTAACCTTAAAGAAAAGCTGAAACAAGTTTTAGACTTTCCAGCCCTCTAGAGACTTCACCAGTCTCARAACTCTCCTCCTACTTGTAGAACAAAAGTTCTGGGAAGAAGGGAGAGGAAAGCAAAAAAAAAAAAGACACCAAAAAACAGCAACAGCCAGTTGAATCCATTTCTGCAGTGGTAAGGAAGAAGAATGCATTCCAAGATGGACAAAAACAGGTCACACGTTACACACACGCGTATTGCACAGAGCAAAATGTTGCTCATTTGAGCCACCTTTCACCTCCCTTTGGAGGATACCAGCAGTCTTCACTACTAGTCAGGGTCTCCAAACAGGTGCCTCAGATGCTGCCTATGGTAAAGCCCCCTTGGGCCGTTACAATAGTTTTGCCAAAAAAACACAGAAAAATGCACTCATGCAAAAGAATCACTACTGAAAAGTAAGAAACTTCACCCACCTACCTACCCACTCATTCTTCTACCTTTCTGTCTCCCTACTTGCCCTATTCACAGATTAAATGAGATATGTGAAGGGAATGAATGGAAAAAAAACTACAAACAAATCCATGCTGCCTATGATTTCAGAAATCATCACTTATTATTAAGCAGTGCAGCATTACCAAAACAGCAATAACTAGTCTTCTCATCTCCTCTGCTACCATGATGCCAGTATTTTAAACCAACTGTAATAACATATTTAACAGTCACCAGCACAACTTTGTGTAGCCAGAAGTTTTATAGTCCTTACTCTGCCACAGCACATAAAAGCTGATTTGCTGCTGGTCAGAAAATGAAAACAGAATGAAATGAAAACAGAAAATAAAAACAACTYCTACAAAAAAATCCAAGGTTTACAGTCCACTTAAATTTTACGTTAACRCTACACTTACTTTCCATCCTCTCCCTGCTCTAATTAATATGGTTACAGAATTCACATTTGCTAACATCTTAGAGGAAAGAAAAGAAAATTTAAAAAAAAGGTGTTTAAATGAACAAAATGAGACATTCTGATAGACACAGAACTGTGTGTTCTAACACCTGAGGATGCTCCTACTACAGCAGCTTCAAATGCCATTTGTTYACCTCTATTTGAAAACTGCAGAAAAATCACTGTTTATAGGGAAACGTCTCAGCACAGCTTCTATACCAACATCTACCTGAAAGTTTGACAGGTTTWAAGACATTATTAAGGAAATCCCATCTATACCATTAAAGACCAGAGTCAAATATCCACTTTCAGAACAGATGGCCTATTTGCAAGCAATTCTAGATTCTTTTTGCCATTTACAGAGACTGAAATTCAGCTCTATTTCTAAATAACTTTAGGGTTATTCATCTTCCTCATATCTCAGTGTATTTATCCAAGCAAAGTAAACATGACAGCATTTATTTCTGACATATTGTCAGATGAAATTGCAAGCTCTCTGCAGGAGCTATGAATTGTTTTAAATACAGCTGGCAAAGCAGCAAGATTTTATAAAGAGTTAMAGTATTTTGTATCTTTGGCATCATATTTAGGGATATTTCTTAACTGTGCCGTATTTTTTTATTTTTATCTCCAAGGCTTACATAGGTTCTGCTATAAAACACGTTTTCTTTTTAAATATATAGCCTGAATCATTGCTTCCACTAGTGGTTAGGTTCAGCATAAACATAYAGCTTTTTCCCTGTCCATTTTTAGCCTTGACAACCTCCAACAACTTCTAGAACTTAAAGAACTTGTAAAAACTTCAGTTTATATAAAGCATAATACTTCCCTTCAAAATATACATCATCTGGAAGAGATATACCTACACACTTCTATTTGTCAAGTACTTAGACTTCACTTGATGTTTTACAKGTTTACTGCCGTGGCTGCTCACTGGAACACCTCTTGTATGAGGASAGACTGAGTTGGGCCTGTTTAGCTGAGAGGGGATCTGATTAACATGCATAAGTTCATGAGGGGAGAATGTAGGGAAGAAGGGGTCAAGCTCTTCTCAGTGGTGGCCAAGGACAGGACAAGGGGYAATGGGTGCAAGCTGCAACACAGGCAGTTCCATCTCCATGTGAGGAGGAACTTCTTCCCTGTGAGGGTGACAGAGCCCTGGCACAGGCTGCCCAGGGAGGCTGTGGAGTCTCCCTCTCTGGTGGTCTTCAAAACTTGCCTGGATGCCGCCCTGTGTCCCGTGCTCTGGGTGTCCCTGCTGGAGCAGGGAGGTTGSACTAGATGATCCCTAGAGGTCCCTTCCAACCTTAAACATTCTGTGATTCTGTAAAAACACTTCTCCACTGGACCAGCTGAAAGGATTGGAGTTTCATGGTCATTTTCAAAAAAGGCTGAGTCTTTCCCCCACCCCATCTCCTGCAACAGAGGGATTCATATTACTCCTTATTTACAAACAGCTGCCATAACACTTCCCAGACAGTAAACTATTCCTGATTAGTAAACTAATAATCATAAATGAGGGACTAGCTATACAAAGGGCAACTTTGGGAAATCATTTACCCTCCACCCCACAGTAAGACCATCCTGTTCTCCTTCAAAACTGTGCTATAGAGAAAAATGGTTCTTGCTCCCCAACACAGATTTTTCCATGTTAACAAATGTGCAAGCTCTGAACCCCAACCATAAGCAAACATCTCAGTAGACCACTCAGCAGGTACAGTGACAGCACCATAAAACAAGACAAAAATGATCTGAGGGTCTGCACAAACTTACTAAACCATTGTGTGAGYCACATCCATTACTTGCCCTCATCTACTCCATCTCCCTGTGCGTGCAGGGGTGTTGCTAGATGATCTCTAAAGGTCCCTTCCAACCTTCAGGGTTCTGTGATTCTGATCTCCTCAACACTAGTCTGTGCATCAAAGAAAACTGTGTTTCTGTGTAGCAYACCATTCCACTTATTAGAAAATCACTACTGGAAAAGTTAAAGGAGAAAGCCAATGTTGATGAAGGATTATAGAGTGATTTAAATCACACACAGATCACTCTTTGAGCAAGAGACCACTGCCACCAACCAGAGCGGTATTGACACGTGACCRATTAAGTGGACTAAGCGGTCACTTTTTATCTTGTCAGAAGGAAGCTCTCCAAGTTCCCCACAAAGACAGCTGGTGCTTAATCCCACTGCTTGCGGAAGACAACAGCCAGACAGCAGAACAGGCAATTTAAGAGAAACCGGGGCAARCCCAACCACGGAAGTATGCAGGCAGAATGAAAGGGTGATAAATSCCACGCACCTGCACGAACGCACTGCCCGCTGCTATGTGTTTTAGGGAGCTGATCTTAGCCTGTTTTACTTCCCCCTTCCATAAACTCCGTCTCCTTCGCCCGGCGGGGGAAACAACCCCATGAAAACAGATAAATAAATGAAGAAATACAGCTGCTGTCAATGCCGGTTTCTCTCAGGGAGCCAAGAGGAGACGACGAGAGACTCCCGACCTGCAGCGAGGCGGCCTACCTCCCCGCCCCCCGCGGCGCCTACCTGGGATGGCGAGGTTGGAGAGCGGGCAGGAGCGCAGCGCCGCCGGCAGCGAGCCCATCCAGTCCGCGTTGCTCTCCGCCATGGCCCGGGCAGCTTTCCGCCGTCGCCGCCGCCGGTGGCCCCTGGCCACGGGCACCGCGCCCGGCGAGTCCATGCCCGGCCGCGGCCACAGGCGGAGCTGCGCCAGCGCGGGCCGATACGCGCCCCGCCGCGCCGCGGCCCAACGGGCAGAGAACGGCCGCACGCGGCCGTTGCCGGCGCCTCCCTTATGTAACAGGTGCGGCGCGGCGCCCGCCCTCCCCATCCCGGCCGCCTATTGGCCCGGCGTGGCGCGGCCGCACGCTCATTGGTTGCGGCGCCGGCGGGGGCGGGGCGGCGCGGCGCGGCCGTTAACGGCCGGGTTCCCTCACCTCTGTGAGGTGCGCGCGCTGCGAGGCGGTTGTTGCCCGGCGGCGCCTCGGCTGCCCCCGCTCCAGGAAAACGCAGAAATTCACAGAGACCTGGCCATTTTGCAGTAACTTGATCGATCCTACGAACGACGAAGAAACTCCACAAGCTTTTTATTTCAGCTCTTTATTACTACTCGTACTACTACTCGTACTACTACGGAGCATAAGAAGTTCCGTCTCCAGGTGAGGAGGAACTTCTTTACTGTGAGGGTGACAGAGCAGTGGAACAGGCTGCCCAGGGAGGTTGTGGAGTCTCCTACTCTGGAGGTCTTCAAAACCCGCCTGGATGCCACCCTGTGCCACATGCTGTAGGTGTGCCTGCTTGAGCAGGAAGGTTGGACTAGATGATCTGTAGAGGTCCCTTCCAACCTTAAATATTCTGAAATTCTGAAATACTTCTATTACTGCTTGCAAGTCACATGTTATCATTTGCCATGCTCAGGCATTCCTCTGCTTCTCCAGTGCTCGTTGTGTTGTCAGTATGCAAGTCAAAAAGTATAAATAAATAAAATCCTCTCTCTGACTCAGCCCCAGGAAACACGAGCCATGGTAGTTCTGTAGCAACTGGAAAAAAGAAAAGTCACTTCTTTGCTTTACTTTCTGCAACCTGCACCACAGCTGTGCTCTCTGCCTCCGAGCAAGGGACAGAGCTGAGGCCAGCAAAGGGTCCTTAATACAGGATTATTTACAAATAGGTACAAATGTGTTATTTCAGTGCTTTTCATATAGGACATAGGTACGAMCTGTTATGCAACAAGTCAAATCTACTCCATCACATGCCAATGAAAAATGTATTATTGCTCTAAAGGTATTTTTTCACTGTCAAATGATAACTTTAGGAAAAAAAACCCAAAGTACTACGGACATATATTTCAGAAGTCCCTCCTTYTGTCTGTAGACAGAATGGACACTTTTAAAATTGAGTAAGCATTTGGTTTCCCTAGGTGGCCCTGCTCGAGCAGGAGGGGGTTGGACTAGATGATCTCTAGAGGTCCCTTCCAACCTCAACCATTCTGTGATGCTGTGATTCTGTTTATTAAAGTACATACATTAATCAGCAGGTCATCATCCATACATGGTAAAAATACTGACCGAACTATACCTTGTAGGTTCAGCATGTATAAACTTAATGTATGTGTAAATAGATGCATATTAAGTGTGTATTTTTAACTAGTACAACCAGAATCTGTATATAATTTCATAAATTTGCGTTTTTCTTTTCAAGCAAGCAGACAAAGGAATTTTGCTTTTAGGGCTTGGGTATTCAAGCTATGGACTATGGAACTATGCTGGACTCTTTTTAAGCCCAGTTTCAATGACAGTTTTTTGCAGAGTGTTCCTGGCCCTCAAGGAGGAACAACCAGAACAGGTTTGGTGTGTGTACAGCTCTGCAGCACAGCCCTGCGCTCCCTTCCAGTTATAACTATCTATTAGCCTTTGCTCTGATGCAGGAGGCACCAGGCCAGGCACATACATTTAGAAATTTAGAAAAATTCTATGGTAATTAAGTTTATACAGTGAACTGAAAGAAATTTTGTCATGTGGGAGCACCAGCATTTCCCCTAGGAGCACTCACAGTCCAACCCTGTGCACACCTAACTTCAAATGCTGTCAGTCTTATTCCCCCCTGTCAGAGTTAAGTCTGTGACTTAAGTAGCATGGGAAACCACAAGGGTTTTGTAGTTTTGGTTTCCAGGTTAGGAAAGCTTCCCACTGCCAGCATAGCCAATTCACCAAGACTGTTACATTCTATGGGACCTCTCTCCACCGCCTGGGTGCTTGGCATGCTACTCCATGCTGCTTAATGAAAATTTAGGGACTGAAGTTGTGGTCTACTACAAAACGAATTAGAGRTGATTGCTAATATGGTACTTGTTACGGTATTTTTTTCTGGCCCTATCTATTTCCTGTCCCTCAGGTGATGTGGGAGGTTAGTATGTATGTGGCAGACAGTGGGTCTGAAGAGGAACATGTTGATGACAGGGATGTACTTTGCAGTGCAGAGACGAGTCCAATCACCGCTACCTTGTGCTTGCTGTAGTCTCTGCTGCGAAAGTCGATGCTAGYGAGTTGTGAGACCAGCTAGAAAAGGGAGCTAAAGCCAGAGGAGAGAAGAGTCTCGAGCCTATTGCCTTCACAGCCTTCCGAAAGCCTCCAAACCCTTGCTATTGAGCTGTTATAGTAGAGACATGAGGCAGCATCAGGACAGTGCTGCCAGACACCCAGCGACTTAATGCTTTGCTCACAGCTCGATTCAGCATCTCCACGCTGTGGCACGTAGCATGAGTGTGTCCTGGCTGCCACSGGGAAGGTCATTTCTAGAGCTCCGCTCCATAAAGGACATTTAGGCTGCACAGATGCACCGACGGCTTGAAGCCAAGTGCTGAGAGAAAGGGATGTGTCTGTTTGCCACTGCAGGGCTGATGTCAACTGCAAGCATTGCCTGTGGTTATTTGCCACCACTAGAAGAATTTTCTTTCAGTCCAAAGATGCTTCTCTTGCTTTCCTAGAAATTAAGATCACTAAATTGCTTCTTCTCTTCCCCAAAACCTCAACCTCTTTCCATTTCCACAGAACATTGTAATTTTATTCTATAATCGGTACCAGATTCTGCACGGATGTGCATTAGTTGTGAGGGCAGGAGGAGTTGTGAGGGGTTATATCATGTATTTAATGATATAATTTTATTTTTCCAGAGCCTGACCCCACAAAATATTAAAGTGAACTCAAAGGTCTTGTCACTTGACACTGTTCAAATGCTCCACTTCWTGCATGTGTTTAAGAGGTGGGAAAAATGTATGGCTAAGCAGACAGTAAAGGAAGCATTGCACAATCTAGATTTCCCCATTCTATATTAAGGTCAGTATAGCGTTGTATTTTTCCATATTTCTGAAGCATTCGCATATTAATCATATTCAGCAGTAAGGATGCCTGAAGCTTTACTGTCCCTTCTGCCCCAGATTATGTAGGCATATTTATGCCTTATTTGGATTTTACTAAAAGAGCTTATCTATTCCTCCTTGTCTCCCTACAATTCAGTGTTATGGACAGCCCAGGCAATCCAACAGCTCAAATCCCATTCCCATGGGCCTAACCCTCCTATTTTCAAATACCTAGTAAAAAGATTAGCTGTGCAGATCGGGCTGAAGCTGTTAAAGCGCTAAGAGGCGTATGTTTTTTCTTCACTTTTAGCTAATTCCAAGCACCCGATTGTGTTTTATTTCAGCTTTCAGTAACACCCGGGCCCTCAGGCTGCCCAATTTAGGAACAGAGCCAGAACAATGAACTTTGAAAAGTGCTTTAAAGCAACTGAAAAYAAGTCGATAACATCAAGTGCTACAGTAACCTGGGCCTCATTCTCCTCTGCCGTTGCAATACTGGCTCTTCCACTTGCCCCGTCATTCAACGGGAAGCATTGCTATTGTTAAAAAACCTTCAGGTTAATGTTTTCCAAATCCTCTATTTTAGTCCTAAATCTACTGGGCCATGTAAATTCCCAATCCTTATGTGCAATTTATCAGCAGCCTATAGATCAAGAGGGTGACTGAAACAGGCTCTGTGTTACCCGCTTATTTTAAAGGTCACTTTGTTCCTGATGAGAAGGGAACCGCAGGAATCATTCTCACACAGAGCAGCTAATTGCTCAGCATTTCTTGTAAGTACACTCAGACTCTTCCAAGCTGTTCATTACCATTTTTGTCCCGACTGTAATGGAATTATTTAACATTTAAAACCATCAGACACGCTCAATCACGAAGCTCTGCAGATGTTATTGCAGCTAAAATATCACTTCTTTAAGCGCAGTAGACCAAATAACCGTGCTCGTTTCCCATTTTACCCCAAGTCAGAAAAATACTGTGACTATCACAGCAATTTTTTTATTTCCTAAGACCTCTGCAAATACTTAGGTATCTACCAAGCTTTTATTTTCCAGTACTGACTTTCCTCATCGCTTTTTTCTTTTGTCTACCATTCAAACTCCTGGGATGTGGTGATATCAATATATCACGTCCTTCTCCTTTTCTGCTTGCTCTCTCTTTCCCGCTCTCCCCCTTTTTTCCTTAAGCCTTTTCCTTTGCATCCGTGAGTCCCCTGTCTGACAATAGTGAGCTGTTCACTACTTCATTCGCTCCACATGGAGGGGGAGTTTCAAACTGTGCAGGATGCCAGAGTTATTTCGGAAGCCCTTCTGGTTGGAAATGAAGCAGCAAGCAAACAGATGAATTTCTTCCTGTGATTAAAATCTAACTGTGGCAACCTGGTGCAGGAGACTTTAAAGGGAAAGAGATGAAACATCACGCAGTAGAGGACAGATGGAAGAGGAGTTTTAATCTGATGTTCCCTGAAATCAAATAGCATTTCCTGGGGACTTCCCTGTGCTTTATCTTGTCTCTAAGGAATCATTTAAAATATAATATGATTTAATATTATTTCCATTAAAATCTCTTTGGACAGGATTAAGCAATYGTAATTCCTCTGCAAAGCTTTCCAGAAGCTTTTCCGGGCTTATTGCTCAAAGTTAATTGCAGAGGTAGGAAGAATTATCTGCTAAAATAATTCCTCTCCTCCCTATCTTCTCCCTTAAAATACCATTACTCCTGCAGTTTCAGTGTACACAGATCTTTCTAATGTTTATCTTTTGTAACAAGCAATGCCTTGAAATCCAATCAAAATCATATAATGTTGCCAATACCCTCTTCGAGGTAGCAAGTAATACTTTTTGTACACAAAAAAAAAAAAACAGACAAATGAAGCTGCAAAATTGTGCAAGCTTTTCCACACAGTTGGAACAAGGGAGAGCCCTACCTAAAACAAAACTCTCAGGGTGTGTGCCAAGATGGGTTGTTTTCCCAGGAAATCCCAGCTGCTAAAGCCTATTATAAGCATCTGTTAACTAATTAATCCACCTCTGGGGCCGCCTGTGCTCTCCTGCAACCTGCATCCAGGTGTTGCAGSGAGAGGCCATAAATTAGACTGATGGGAGGGCACGGTGCAAACAATAGGGGTGTTCATTAAATAAGCAATCCCTGCTTAATTAATTTGCAGGGCAGAAAGGTGCCATGTAGGGAAGTCACAYCGTGGCAGTGCTGTAAAATAAATAAATAAACGGGAGGTTTCGAGGGAGGCAGAGGTGTCTGGAGTGACTAATGCTCGGGTGCTTGCGGGTGGCAGGCACAGCAGGACAAGCGCATCCTCTAAGCGCACACATGTGTCCCATCAGTTATCAGAGGCTCCGGCCACTTTTGCTCTCCCCACATAATGAAAAGCACCTATATATRAACATACACGACTGCCTAGCTTTCCTATGTATCATTTTAAGCCTGGCTAATGTGCATACAAAGGACCAAAGGTGGCAGCTCCAGATAATTTCGCAACTTTAMGCTGCTCTTAAGTGTGACCTCAGGCTCTGGCTCAGGTCTGCCTTGCAGGCTTCACATTGTCGCGGATTTGCATTTAGTAGTTTAACACTTAAGCCTTTTCCAAGAAAGCTTTTCTATTCCTATGCATCAGGCTTTGAGCACTTTGCCCTTATAATACAGCTTTTATCTGGTATTCCCATAACTACCGTCAAGGATCTCATAATTTCAACTGTGTTYGGGGCGAATGTTTACATGCTCCAGGGCTAATAGAAGCCATGTTCAATCTGAAAGATTTAAGCTCACGTAGGAAGGCAGCTGGTGCCAAAAAMCAATGGTTTGGAAGGTTTTCCCCCTCCCTTTCACATTAAAGCAAGGAGTAAACCTAACCACAGCTCCTGAGTAACCTTATGCACGTGCATTTTCCTGGTCAGGATCACATGAAGCCAACCCGAAATTCCAGGTTTGTATTCTGGCTTGGTTGGTCAGAAGATCTTGGCCATATCTGTTGGCTTGGTTTGCATTCTAGATGTATTCACTACATCTGCAGGAAGCTTGGAAGAACAAAGTCAGCAGATTCCTCTCCTCTCCCTCTCCCTCTCCCTCTCCCTCTCCTCTCCCTCTCCTCTCCCATGGCCATGGGCTGACAGCTGCTGCTTTCCCATGCGGTCCCCCTGTTGCCCCCTAACCTCTCCCTGTTGCTCAACTGGGTCAGCGCTGAGGAAGATATGGAGGAAAGGGAAATGGGAAAAGGGAAGAAAAGGGGAAAGGGCGGAAGAAGGGAAAAAGGAGGAAAAGGGAGGAAAGGGGAACAGGAGAAGGAAAGGGAGAGCCGTCCCTTGCCAGGGACTTCTYCCTTTACGGCAGCGTGAGGACAGAGGGATCCCACAGGAGCCAAGCGGCGGGTCGGGCGCCTTCCTCCCCAGCCTCATCATCGGCGCTGCGGCGCCACCTGCCGGCGCCTCGGGCCGCAGCRGGGGCAGCTCCGCGGGCAGGGGAAAATAAATAAAGCGAGTTAAACAACTYGGCTCTTAGGAGCACCCGTGGAGAGGAAACGATCGAATTAACACGGCTCTTGTGTGCACGCAAAGTGAAGTTTTGAAGGGAGCAGAGCGCTTGCTGTGACGCACAGATACGACCTCAACGATGCATCTAAAACTCCTGTGCTCCGAGGTAAGGGAACACCACGAAATGCTAAAAGCTTGGTGATATTTCAAAAGAYCTTCCAAATCATCTTTTCCATCAGCACCAGCACAGGGAAATACCAGGGCAGGGTAGGGTAGGGTAGGGCAGGGGTGGTCTGTGCCCTCTGCAGGCTTAAACTGCCTGGGAAACTACCCCACTGGTCTTGGGGTGTCTGGCGACAGTGAACACTGAAGCTGATCCACAACAAGGGGGAATAAAAAATTTACACTCCTTTCTCCTTGCACACTGTAAGTACAATATTCAGCAAAACAGACTTGAGAGGGATTTCTGTTTCAGAAACACAGCTCTTCCCAAAGGACTGGCCCTTTCTGTTGGATTTGTCTTTCATTTAAGTCCTTGGGTCTGTGGTCCACAAATGTCTTATAAATGAGCCCCAAGGTCACTCTGTCTTGGGGCTTCACAACAAGCAACCACCTCTTCTTTGCAGGCCTGCACAGCAGCCCTTTATCTCATCAGCTGCTGCCAGTGCCTCTGTGCTGCAAGCGCGGAGCCGGCAGATGCAGCCTCTTTGCTTTCAGTGCAAGCTATTGATTTGGGGGGTTCACACTGATAGAAATTACACATTGGGTCAGTTAGTCAATAATTCTGCATTAGAAAACAAAACAACATCATCAWCAACAACGAAAAAAACCCACTTAATTATCGAAGCTGCTCATGTATATATCAAAAAGCTTGTGGTAAGCCAGGGACTCCTATGTAATCACGGCCTCCATATGGCAGAGCTGTCATCTCTAYACACTCACTGAAACAAAAAGCTTTAACACTTCCTTTGGGCAGGCTTATGAAGTGATATGTTAATCTACTCCCATTAACGAGATGGCAAATTCCCAGTTGATCACCCAATTCACGTTAAGCACATATAATCTCACTGTGACACTCACACTGGTGTTAACATAATGCGTATATATATATATAGCAATAGATGGGATTAGGTAAGTGTGCTCAGGAGTGCTCCGCTTGCAGCATTCATGTCATTAAGGCACTCAAGATTTAATACAGGTCGTTAGCAACAAACGCCTGTAGTCAGTGCTTTAAAGAGACAGCCTTTTAGCTGTGTCAGTCCTCTTCTGTGCRCACACGGGCAGTGTAGGCACTTTCACAGGTTTTCCATTTCGTGGCAGGATGGGGGAGCCCCGTCGGACTCCACCATGGACATGTACTTTACTGGTGGCGGCGGTGGCTTGAAAGACGGAGGTCTGTTCATACTGGAAGGAAAGAGACAAAACGCGGTATAACACAGAAGCCATCGAAAATACTGATATGAAAGAGGAAGAAGCAAATGGAAACTCAGTAAGAAGCATAACAGAATCCTATAATGGGAATTCCTGTAGGAATTTGTTCTTACATAGTGCAACTTTCTGGCTTGTGTCCGCAGCYGCGCACGCTCTCTGCTGTCCATTCGGCTTTCTCCGCTCCCAATCTTACCCTCATGATTTTCTTACTTTATTCCTGCTTTTTGTTTATTCATTTCATCCATAAATGCACTTTATTCACACTTTAAAAGTGTTTTTAGAATTGCTCATAGTGCTGTATGAAGCCATATTTAAAGATTAAAGATATTTAACTTTTTTGGGGGGAAGAAGTGGGTCTCAATATATAGGCTAAAGTAAAGGTCCCTGCCCTAAAACTGTGAAGAAAACTCAAGTGTTACTCTAACTACTTTGCTTACCTTTGATGCATAGGATTTGCTGTTRTGCTTCAAAAGTGTTCTGCACCACAAGTGGTTCACGGTCTTCATTTTTATGAAATATTAGYTTATTAATGGAAATTAAAAATGACTCAGATACTACTGTCAACAGTAGATTTCTGAGTGCTTTTCAAAGGAATAAAATGTTGATAATCAATAGAAACTCAACACTTCTTGGGATTAAGTTTTAGGAAATCTACTTTCACACCCAGATATCTATCCACCACCCAGATAGTGTTTCCTATCTTGAAAGTACAGTTTTATAGTTTCATTTAAAATCTGTCCTCAAGTAACCATGCAAAATGAGGGTGAGAGAAGTAGGTAGGGAGGCTACTAAAGCTGGGGAACTGGGGGAAAAAATTCTTGCATTCTTCCCTTAAACCTGTATAACACACACACTGCCAGCACTGCTGCTGTCTTTGTGAAGTTTATTTTATAAAAATGCCACAGCACGGGTGAAGATTAGTGCAAACACTAATGAAGACCGTGAACCACTTCSAGCCCCTGTGTGAAGCAGTGGCATTAACTAGCGGATGAGAGGACGGCACGAGCCGTGCGCTGCGGGCGCTCTACGGAGAGTCTCAAGCGAAAAGGCCTAAACCCCAACATCTGCAACAGCGTCTGCGCTGCCCTCTGCACCGTGCCTCTCCCCGGCTTTTCCTTCCCCGATACTTACATCTCTTTTTGATATTGGCACCATTTCCTGATCCCCAAAACCATGAGGAAAGTGCAGCAGAGGAGCAGGGCGGCTACGGCCGTCGGCCAGGGGAAGGGACGGGCTCTCGCGGTCCTGCCCGAGCCTGCAAGGGACACAGGGCACAGAGCTCAGCCGAAGGCCGCCCGCGAGGAGAGCAGCTTGTGGGTGTTGCGTGGGGCACACTGCTCCCCACAGGAGCATTGCTCCTTCCCAAGGAACCCCACTTCCACATGGGGCTGCCAGGTTTGGAAGTGCAGCACTGCGCACTTTAAGCATTACCGCTTTCATGTACGGACTTAAACCCTCTTCTGTTGTAATCGGGTTTGTGGGCTGGTTTCAACCAACCCTCAGTTCACGYGGGGAGATATTAGGCACCTCCTGACAAGCATTTCATGAGAAAACGACTGGTTTAATCTATTCCCCAGTGACTTTCCCCAGGAGGAAGCACGGCACGCAGCCAGCTGCCTGCCCTGGAGCTCGGCCACGGCGCTCTGTCTCACTCACCGGGTTATCCAGCACGCTGCTGGCACCAGCCCCATCCAAATTCCTGGGGAAGTGCCACAGAGCCCAGGAGACCCTCTGGGGCTCAATGAGCTCTGCAAAATGCTTGTCTGGAGGCTGTTGGGCTATGGCGAGGAAGGAGCGTGGTCTTCCTGCAGCTGGTGAGGAGCGCAGGACTGCGGTACCAAAAGGCATGTGGGACAAGCCATGGGACAGGGATGCGAGCTGTCATGAAACAGCCCTGGTGCCTTCTCTTGGCCCTTCCCTTGGCCAGATTGACACAGCAACCCACATTTCATGCTTCCCTGCATTTCCTCTTTACCACGGTGATATTTTTAAAGAAGGTATTTCCTTGGATAATATCTCACCTGTACTGTTGACCAGATTGCTGGTAGTATAGAAATCTTTCCCTACGTTAATTGAAACTGTCTGGTCTGTAACACTGAAGGAGAGATGACCTAAAAAGACATGGGCACAGAATAGTTTTAATAGCTTGTTTGGTTTTATAATGTTAAACAGCCACTGCTATTCACACTACTGAGCACTGGAAAACAAATTCCAGCATCGAGATGTCAACATTCACTTACCAGGTCACTTAATTTTATTTTGGCCTACTCATAGGAAAAACAAACACATATTTTCTTTAATTTTAACAAATTAARGAAAGTACAAAGGCATTAAGGTGTTCCAGCAAAAGAGCAGCACTCTTGGGGAAAGACAAGCTTGTTGCCTCTTTGGTAGAGTAATGAAAACACGGAGGATATCAAGTGGCTTAACAGCATCTCGAAGAGTCTGCTCTCGACACAGCTGAGTGAAACCCCAGCCTCCTATATTAACTGCTGAAGTGTCTGAGCCACAAAAATCATCTTTCATCTGTTTGCAGACAGCTATTTTCCCTCTTCGAATGCAGCTAAGCTACCCATGTTCAAGATCAATATTGCCTAAGGATACACTCCTATTTTTCTTTTTTTTTTTTAGCTGTCTCAGTGTTTGTGTCTTCGAAAGTAATAGCTGAAATATGTGACTAGACAACAGCACAGTATTTACCAAACTGCCACTGCACTTACGGTGAGCTAGGCTTGTATTCTCCAAGGAGCGTGTTGCGTTCCTGAGGCTTTGCAGGGATACAGTGGTGGAATCGTTCCAATGTGTATGAAGAGAAAAACAATCCTTAGTTGGCTTTGCAAGCCTGCGCATGGCTGCCTCATTGGGCTTAACTGTAGCTATTTTATATCCTTTACTTTTATTTGTTGCAAAAATAACAAATGAAACAGCCATGATACTTTCTGTTTAATGGCTGATTTATAAATTCAGGAAWAAATCCACTGTTTAAAGGGTGTAAATGAGCCAACAGATGAAGCTAGGAGTTCTCTGTCTTTCTCATCAGATGCTGGTTCCAATCAAAATTGAACCATCAAGCATATAAATATATGTGTATGCATATGTATGTGTGTTTATATGTACAAAATMTATGTATATGTGGGTAAAAATCAAACAATTTTATGGCACTCTAAAATTTCATTGAGAATTTGGGATATTAAGTAAATTTGGCTCTTTTCCCCTTGTGTCTCAGATTTTTAGTTCCATAGAGATAAGCATGGYGGATCTGGTATTTCATTAAAAGAGAAAAGAATCACAGAATGGCTGAGGTTGGAAGGAACCTCTAGAGATCATCTAGTCCAACCCGCCCTGCTCCAGCAGGGACACCCAGAGCACGGGGCACAGGGCGGCATCCMGGCGGRTTTGGAAGATCTCCAGAGAAGGAGACTCCACARCCTCCCTGGGCAGCCTGTGCCAGGGCTCTGSCAYCCTCACAGGAAAGAWGTTCCTCCTCACATGRAGAAGRAACTGCCTGTGTTTCAAAAGAACCCCCATGTACCTGGAAATCTCATAACACCCTGCTCCAAACAGCACGCCAGTGAATGCTACTTATTATTATTTATATAACGGCTCATGTTACAGCCTCAGAGGATTTAGCTGATAGCAGTAATCCCCGTGGCGTTATCCCTGTGCTTCTGGGGAGACACCCTGGAAGGCACAAGGATGCCCTGGCACCAGCCTTTGGGCTGCGCTTCAGTCCCAGTTCCAAGGGCCCTTCCAGGCCGTGTCTCAGCTGCTGTGGAGCGGCCAGGGCTGCAGGGAGCACGAGGGGCAGCGCGAGGGACAGCAGCTCCCGCAAGCAGCCGCGTGATCCAGCYGACAAAATAGCATCAAGGAAGCTTAACTATTCACTAATAACTGATGGTGCAAGAGCACTATTCTGAAGCACTGGGGATTGTTGCAAAGTTTCGGTTTAGATGTGTGTYAATGGATTATGCACTAGCAGATGCACCCAGAAATACACACAGAAAATGAAAAATAGCTGTAATGTTTGCACTTCGGCCAGAAGGTGCTGCTATACAATTGCACTAGCACACTGACTGCCCTTTCCTGTTCTAAAAGCAGACAGACAAACACAGATGTTTTTAGCAAATAACTTTTTTTTTTTTCTCAGATGTTGAAAAAGAAATTTATTTCTGGCGTACTGCTAGTGAACAGAGATTTTAAAGGAGAAAAAAATGTGCATCAAAGTCACCCCCTGTTCYCTTTTACATTCAGTACTCTTTGCTGTGTCCCGTTAGTCAGCCATAATTACCCCCATTATCTCACAATTTCTTTCCTACTCTGGGATTTTAGCYGGCTTCTCCAGTTATTTATTTCATCTGCAAGGTACCTCAAACCCACTACATTTGCCTAACAACTCTCTTAATTTTAACTTTATTAAATTAAATATGTCTAATAGAGCCATGATACTCCGATGTTTGTGGTTGCTCTTTTGCTGCTACAAATCCTTGATGGTTTAGAAGGCTCAAGTCTTTTACCCATCTCAGTTCACTCCCAYAGGGGAGTTGCTTCTATAAAGCCAGTACAATTACAGTACCTGGCCTCTGCTTCAGCACAACTTTCCATGTTTAGTAATACCTTTTGCATGGCAATTATAGAATCATAGAGTCCTTAAGATTGAAAGGGGCCTCTAGAGATCATCTAGTCCAACCCCGCTGCACACGCAGGTAGGTGACCCTACAGCACGTGACACAGGGCTGCATCCAAGCAGGTTTTAAAGATCTCCAAAGAAGGAGACTCCACAACCTCCCTGGGCAGCCTGTTCCACCCTCAATGTCAAGAAATGTCACCCTCAATGTCAAGAAATGTTTTATCAAGTTCCTGTGGAACTTTTGGTGCCTCAGCTTGTGGCCGTTTCCTCTAGCCCTATTGCTGGCCACCACTGAAAAGAGGCCGCCCCCCTCCTCCTCACTGCCTCCCTTGAGGTATTTATAGACACTGATCAGGTCCCCCCTCAGCCTYCTCTTCTCCAGGCTGAACAGGCCCAGCTCCCTCAGCCTTTGCTCACAGGGCAGATGTTCCAGGCCTCTGATCATCCTGGTGGCCCTGCGCTGGACTCTCTCCAGCAGCTCCACATCCCTCTTGTACTGGGGAGCCCAGAACTGGACACAGCGTCCAGATGTGGCCTCACCAGGGCTGTGTAGAGGGGGACGATCACCTCCCTCAACCTGCTGGAGACGCTCTTCTTAATGCACTCCGGGATCCCGTTGGCCTTCTTGGCCACCAGGGCACACTGCTGCCTCATGGTCATCTTGTCGTCCACCATGACACCCAGGTCCCTCTCTGCGGGACTGCTCTCCAGCAGGTCCACCCCTAATCTGTGCTGGTGTCCAGGGTTATTCCTCCCCAAGTGCAGGACCCTGCACTTGCCCTTGTTGAACYTCATGAGTTTTCTAACCACCCAGTCCTCCAGTCTGTCCAGGTCCCTCTGGATGGCAGCACAGCCCTCAGGGCTATCAGCTACTCCTCCTGGTTTCGTATAATCAGCAAACTTGCTCAGGGAGCATCCAGCCCTTCATCCAGGTCGTTAATGAATAAGTTGAACAGGAGCGGACCGAGGACCAACCCCGGGGGACACCGCTAACTTCAGTTATGTAGCAGTGAGATGACTTATGAAGCTGCAGCTGAAAATAAGCTGGAGAACTAATACATTTGGCAACGTTATCACAACTTGAGGGTCATGTGAGGTTGAATCACATGAATACCCGCTATTGTACTTTTTCAAGAGACTCCAGATCACTTTGTATTTGCAACTGAATGATAAGATTGTATTACACTTCCCTTTTGCAGAATCTTTAATTAACTTTCTAACTCCTTTGATAGAGCCCATGAGGCAAAGGAGAAAGCATCATCTACTTACGTGCTCTTGTGAAACTCTTATTCAAGGCTGTGGTGTTTGTATAGTCTTTTGTCTCTGGAGTAAAAATCATCGCTCCTATTGAAAAACACAAAAGTTTCTCTAGAGGACACAGTCACTTGTGTCTTCTGTGTTTCCTGACCTATCTTCCTTGTTTTTTGACCAAAAATGTAAAATAGCTATAACTTAGTACCTGAAATTCTAGTTTCACTCAAACAAGCAGGTAGAGGGCTGCATCAAGTTTTAAAGTCTGTCACAAGCTACAAACACAAGATGAGTTTAATGAAAACACGGATAAGCTCTGAGAAAACCTATAGAAACATAAGCCTTGGAAGAAGCCTAGACAGATCTACCGGTTGCTTTAGTTGCAGCCTGGTAGTTCTGAGTTCTCTGGCCTGTTTTAACATAAAACCAATAGAAAATGATGAATAATTGTAGGTAAACCAGAATTCAAACAGAATTTCACCAGCTCCTATGAGATGAAACTGTGTTCTGCTCTAGCAGAGAGAAGTTTTGAGAAAGTTACTGTACAGGAGCCATGCTTGTGATGTTCAGTACCAATTATCAACTTACTTAACATTTTCCCTTTGATCTGTTTTTTGATGCGCTAAGTATTCTACAGCTCAACCAGCTATTCATCTGATATGCAAACACAGACAGATGGTGTTTAGCAAATAGACCTCTATTTGCCCAGGAGGACTATTTCACATTTACTAGAAGAGCCTGTCTTTCCTAACACTTGTCTYGTTTTTGGAAATATACCGTTAAGCCATCTGAACAAACCTAAGGTGAAATGAAGCTATTACACAGCATGGGAAAGGCTCATRTGGAAGACAAATGTGGAGCCGCCTGCAGTTTTATAAGTCTTGGTTTTGTTTTCCCTCCATGTGCCTTCCACTTCTGTGTGCTCTTCCTTCACACACATTCCCAACTATCTCCTGGATTTTCATTAGAAACTTGCAAAATGACAGACATCAAATCAAACCTTGTTCACACAATGGCAAATTTAGGTTCAGCTTCTGGATGCGGCTGCTTCCCAAGGGCTGATCAAGAAGACTTCGGTGTGCCAACTTAGAAGTGGCAAGGCCGAGGGATGAGTAATGCCAACCCAGTGCCCTCAGGCACTCCCACCTGCACAAGGCTCCTGACCTAGGCCACACGACTGCTGCACAGCCAAGGGAGTTGGTTAACATACAGACACACAAAATCACACACAGAATGATTACAGTTGGAAGGGACCTCTGGGGATCATCTAGTCCAACTCCGCTGCTCCAGCAGGGACACCCAGAGCATGGGGCACAGGGCGGCATCCAGGCAGGTTTGGAAGATCTCCAGAGAAGGAGACTCCACAGCTTCCCTGGGCAGCCTGTGCCAGGGCTCTGTCATCCTCACAGTGAAGAAGTTCCTCCTCATGTGGAGATGGAACTGCCTGTGTTGCAACTTACACCCATTACCCCTTGTCCTGTCACTGGCCACCATTGAGAAGAGCTTGGCCCTTCCTCCCTACATTCCCCCTTCAAGTACTTATACATATTAATCATTAATCAGATCCCCTCTCAGTCTTCTCTTCTCCAGAAAAAAAAAGGCCCAGCTCACTCAGTCTCTCCTCATATGAGAGATAAGGTGCAGTTAAGGTGCAGTTGTTTCCCAAAGCCACTCAACGGAGAGAGGAATAGCTCATCTCCAGCAAACACCATGACTTTGACCTCCTGTCTCCCCAGTCAGCAATAATATACAATCCTGTCAGGAGAATCATCACTGTTGAYACTGTATATTTACAGTCTTTGTTATGAAATTAATTGCTTGCAAGAGTGAAGCGAGGCAGAGAAGGCTTTTCCTCCACTCGGACAGGCTTTTTGCTCACCCCAGGTGAGCGAGGTTTTGGAAGTATCTCTGCTTTGGAGTATGGGGAGGGCTGCTGGAGAAGCAGCAAGCTGTAAATTCAGTGGCATTGCAGCCCACATTCATGCCCTGCCGTATCTTGTCTAAACTGCTTGTTCYTAAGGACATTACACTAAGCCATCCAGACCCATACAGCGCTCTGCTGGGTCATGACCAAGCCTTTTCTTCAGCTTTGTCCCCTGTTGCTGCACACACTGACAAYTGCAGTACTCTTTTGTGTCTCTGTAGATACTTCTGTAGTGCTTCATGCTTATTTAGGTTACTTTTAGCCAAGTATGCAAGACTGAATTACATAGTTTGAGGAAAGTACTCAACATGCTGCAGACTCAGGAAAGTTTGTCTGTTGCAAAAGACTTTGTGTCTGGGAAAGTAAGGCTGCCACAGACACCAAAGGGAGTCTCACCCATAGACCCTTTCCCACCATAGTTTCGATGTTGCTCTGAAGATGAAGATGGCGCTGAAGAATGACTTGCTCCATTGCTTCTTCTTGTGCTGCAAAGACTGCCTTTGTACACAAACTGCTTTCCTCCCAAACAGGCTCATTTGTCATGGCTGTGCTTACTGGGTCCGTGTGACAGTCAGTGCAGCACTTGCTGCCAGTCAGAGCAGCAGGAACGCACGTCTAACTAATGCACAAAAACAACCAGTCCTGCAGGGACGAATGACTGGACTTCAAAATCAGAGGAGCCTTAGAATAAAAAATGCTTGCTGACAGCCTTTGATGCAAGAAAATCCACCCCACTGGGATAGTGGCTGCTGCCAACCCTGTGTCTCGAGGCTGGGATCCAACAGGCTAGAAGGTGATGGGTCGAGCGCTCCGTCTGCTCCTGGTTCACGTGGGCGCTGCTGCACCGTCAGGAACACAGGAGCCTCTCAGCACACACAGCTCTAATCTCTTTCTATCTTTATACAGCGGTTAATTCGAGATACTGGAGAAAATAGCTATTTCAAAATATGTATACTTGGTGTCTATTCCTTTGCTGAAATTAATGAAATTAATACTGAATCAAATTATTAAATCAACAGAGCATTTTCTCATATATTTAAACAGTGATCTTCCTGGTATATAACATATTAGAAATAGGGCTTCAGTGAATATTAAATTGCATGCTAAAAATAGCAAGATGTTTATTGTTTTTATGCACCTTTCTCTTACATTCTTGAAGCAGCAGAGAAAAGATTTTGGGCTGAATGCATTACCTYGTGTTGTGGTAGCCAGAGCCAAGGTTGCTTGACTGGTGAAATCTGTTGAGGCCAAAGATACAGACTGATGCTCTAAAGGAAAACAGATCACGTGATATTACACAGTATCACCTTCAGTTGGTAGGGTTTTTTAAAAATAATATTAATAAACATTATTTGATATTACAATAATGATTTATAATAATAATAATATTGACTGGAGATCATAATTATTCTGTAAGTGTTGGGTAAACACAAACCCTTCAGTGGAAATCCCACTACCAAAGCTTAAGGTTAAAAGCTCAAAACATATACCACAAATTCAATGGCAAYCAGACAGTTATTAATGCAGAGACTTTCACATGGGCTAGCTATATGCTTCATTTATTTACTTTTTTTAATATATAGAGCTTAACTGCCACATCACCACTTTACAGTGGAGCTGTCCTATCAAATCAGGTGCTCTCCAGAACTGGTCCTGTTGACACAGAATGACTATATAAACCTGGGGAATYTTATATTCCCGTGGATCCCCACAGCCATTCCTGAAGCAGGCATAAAGGAGAGCAATTGATGAAGATAGCTTTGTATGGATAGCAGTAAGCTGCTCAGGTGAAGCAGTGATATTTATATTAATGAATGGGAATGATATGCTACTATTAGATTAAGGAAAAGTGATGATTTCAACCTCTCTTCTATCACAACCATCACTCTGTCATAATAGAAGAAATTTATTTGTAGCTGTATAGAGTTTTTATTGGGTTTTGTATAAAGGTGCAGAATAATATTCAATATTCAGCATACTGTATTACATGCTGTCCTCTGGTGACAGAATTTTATCAAGATTTGTGTTAAATCTTCCTGAGTAACTTCATAGCTCAGAAGTTCCCAGCAAACGACACCACAGGCACCATCAGTATCAGAGCACACTGACCTTTCACTGGCACTCCTCTGCCTCTGTGTTTGTGACATTTAAGCACAGGGCAAAAAGAGATTGCACATTGATTAACTGAGTAATAAAGAGGAACATTTTTCACCTGAGGTAGTCATGATGGTTGATGGAAGTGCTGAATTTCCACGGTTTGTAACAAATCAGAGCAAACACATCTAATCAGGATGGAAGAGTTACTTATTCTGGTTTAAAAAAGTGGGTCCTTGTAGGATTCAAGAAAAAGAGCACATTGCACTTATTTTCTAAATAGCATTTCAATGTGCTACATTGTGGCACACTGTGTGTACAAGTATTACAGCAAGGAACAAGAAGCACCTGAATTAACCATGCTGTGAAATTTCTAGCAAAGCAACCATCGTGCTGGAGGGGTCTGGAGTCCCAGGCTCCTCCAAATTACAGATGTGCCTCCCAAGGAAAACACAGGAAGGAGTTACATGTATTTATCCATACAGGCAGATGCACCTTATTAACATGCAGTTTGAAATAACATATATGACCCTAACGTATATGATTGGATATCCACATAGCTCTATCCGCTAGATATTCAGGGCATGCAGCTCCTACAGAAGACTGCAAAATGCATCTTCACAGTCCTCCATCTGAGGTGTAGAAGACCAATTTGTCTATTTTCAGGAAGCTAAAAACAAGATAAACTTGCAGGAGCCCAGCAAGAATTTAGCAAAATTGAGCAGATTAAGGAACATTCATCAGTCCTTTAATTAGGCAAGAATGTTCGGGATCTTGCCTGCCTACTTAAGCAGAATGCAGCACCATTAGTAGAGATGTTATTTTTAATTATCAGTTCAGTGTTGAAAGAGCTATATTCAAATGCTGGCTCAAGCATCAGAAATAACATTAAGTGCCCCTCAAAGCTGGAGTTTAATTATTCTTGGACTTAACTATGATAGATTGCCTTACAAAAATATCCCTTCATTGTATTTTCCCTGAATTTGTAGCTGCAGAAAAGGATCCATAACCATCAGTCTAGAAACAAGTTTTCAAAATCATTTCTCYAGCAGATTTAAGAATATTTTAGGAATATATAGATGCACTTTTAACATGACCCAAATAATTTTTCTTTTTAATTTGTCCTACCTTCTGAAGCCACGGTGGAAAAAGCTTGTGTTGAGACTTCGTTAGACTGATTGTCTGTGAATTAAAAAAAAAAAGAAAAAAGATGAAAGTAAATCTTAAAAACAGTAAAATAGTTGGGCTTTTTTGTTTAGCCTGGCTTTTGTGTCACACTGTGCATTAGTGCAGCACAGCCACAGAACATAGCTGAGACGTACTTTTTTTCTCTTTCTCTCACCTCTAAATACATTAACATTTTTTTTTTTTTATAGAGTGGATTTATCTTTGTGCTAGTACAGCCTGCAGACAAGAATGTAGACTTCTTTAATGAACAGCTCTCTGATTTGAATACATTTTTACAAAACTGCAAATTGACTGAAATGAGTCATTTTGGGAAAAAGAACAGATCATTCATCTTCCCACCCTCCAGACCCACATTTCAAGGGAACAAAGCTTTGATTCCAGATACAGTCCATCTTTGGGGGGGGAACAACAAAAAAACAAAACAAAAMCCCATATCCACTAAGCACATCCCAGCCAGAGGTGGATACAGCTCGGGTATTGAGCTACCCTGATTGAGCTCAGGTAAGCAGCTACCCAAGCGCATGATGTACCCACGCAGGCCAGCATTTCAGGAACGGGTATATTATCCCATTCCCTGCCAAGGAGCACACCTAGCAGAAGAAAAGCTGTTAGTTTGCATTTGAGCCTGAAGCCCAGGGATGATCAGGAGGGAAATCGGACCTCCCTTCTTGCCAGCCACCCTCTAACAACATGCCATTAACTTCTTGACCACTGTGGCTTTCACCAGCTAGCAGAGACAGTGTTTCTCCACATAAGCAGCCAACTCAGAGCACAGGGAGCAGGGAGGGTTCTCCATTGCCTCAGGCATTTCTACCACCTTATGGACCTTTTGCAGCTCTCCTGGAGGATGTGCTACATAGCCCTAACTCCACAGCTTTGAGTTTTCAGAGAGCTGCACTGCACACATGCAGATTTACTCCTGGGAGTGCTCAGTGAGAAATGCATAGTTATAAGAGCTTGCTGCTAAACTAGTGTATTTTTGGCTACAGGAATTGCAGCAGGATACAGTTTAAAAAACAGCAAGCATTTTCATAAGTATGTGCAATAACTTTCTTTTCTTTTCAACTGGTTAAGACTCTTCAGGCTTTTTTGGACATTTTTTTTTTAGCTCATTCATAGTCTTTGTTCAAGCTGTGTGATGAATTTGTATAATAAAACCTCCACATGCTTGGCATTTCCTCAATATTTTGAATAACAGAACATGTGTTGAGTGCTCCTAATGTTCTATATTTCAGATATGTCCTATCTGTGTAAACCTACCAAAAGAAAAAAATATTTCTTCTGATGAAATATTCCATGTTTCATTCCCGGGAAAGGAAAACAGACACACACACGAGAATATCTTATGAGCCTTCAGGGTCTCATGTAACATCAGTGTTGACTGTAGCTCATAGAAACCTTCACTATCTTGTGAATCTTCTTGTTCAACAGATATTTCTGGAAAGAAAATAGAAAAGCTGTGAGGCCCTTTCATTACACTCCAAACTATAAATCGGAGCGGTACAAAATGCTGGCACTAACAAGCAGGCTCATATGGCTGAAGGCTTCTTTGCCGAGACCCTATTGAAGGATTTGGCACGTGTAGCACGCTCGTGCCAAGCTGTCGTTCCCATGAACAGCAACGGCACGTGGCCATCCCGGCTGCTCGCCAGCTGTTCTCTCTTAGGATGCTTGGTACTTGCCTTCATCCGGGGAGGCACCCCGAGGCTCCCTTYAGCAGGAACGGTATAGCCCAAATTGCTTTTCTTGTGAACATTTCTACAGCTGCTTCCTTAAGGGGTTTTGTTACCTCCAGGCTGGTCTGTCAGGATCTCTCTGTCCACGTACCACACCAGGCTGGGCTTGGGAAACGCCTTCCTCACCACGCAGCTAACGTTAGGCTGTGAAGCAGCAAAAGGCAGTCATGAGTCCTCAACATTTCTGATCTGGTTCCAGTTACTGAGGTCCAAAATCTGCCACAGGCAGAGCTGCTYCTGCAGGCTCATATGCTCACCCTCCCACTCAGCAAAGAAGTGTTTGCTTCTTCTTCTCTTGACTTTTCTTCCCAACATTTTTCTGGTTCAAAAGATGGTTGAATGAGATTTAAGGGACACCCTCATGTCCTGAGCCAGGCTGGGGGTGACAGGATTCAAGCACCACCCAGCTTTGCACTGCAGTCACAGATGCATAGAGGGACCCTCATCCCCATCCCAGCRCTCCTGGTGAAACCCCCACAAAGAGCCAGGGACATTGGTAAAGGGCAGCATGCCAGGGAAAGAATAAGGCATTCTGAGACTGCCACTTAAATCCTTCCTTCATTAAGCAGATGAGACAAATTCCCTGAAAAAGCCTGCTTAGCACAACGATATTCTTCATGCACAAAATTAGATACCTTCACAGAGGGCAGAATATGTGAGAGATTTCCAGAAGCCACAAGCAATTGGCCGTATCAGATGGAATAGGCCTGGTTATATGCTAGTTCCTCTGAAGAGTAGGTGTTTGTGCCTTGTTTACTTTGTTGTAATGCAGGAGGTGGAAGGATCAAAAATCAAAGCTGGATGCAGGGATCGACATTAGGAGGGTGGGAAGTCCTGTCCTTATGCTGCCTTGACGTTGTAATTGATGAAATTAATATTCATTTAGCTGCTTTTCTAGCACTGAGATGGCCTTGTCCATTTAAACACAGAAGTTCATGTTACTACCCACTCATCACAAAGTCCTCCTGCACTTTGAAGGAGTTAGCACACACATGCAGCTGAAAGCAAGCCTGATGTATTGCAGCCAGCAGAAGTCAATCATTCAGTATGAAGACTAAAACTACCCAGCTGGGGTCCTTTTCTTGCCATGATTAAAAAAAAAGAACAGACTCATTGTGTAATTACTTTCTCCTCTTTTGCCTTTGTTATTCACTTATTTTTCAGTCACATTTTGTTCGTAGTATTTTTTTATCTTATAGGGAAAAACAAATCTGATCTGCAAATTCCTACCGCACAAAAAAGGGCAGAAAAGAGAAGGAAAGGAGGCAGTGTTTGTCCGGAGGTGAAGAATGGACAAAAGCTGGTGGAAGATTTCCATTGATCAGCCTCTTGGTAGCAGTACCCGTTGCCCATGCTCAGCTGGACAAAAGTCTGCCAAAATTTCCACACTTCCTTTGTGCTGCTCTTTTCCTAAGCTCTTCTCTGACACTTTATAACATCAGTTTTCCTTTTCTTGGTCCACTACTAACACCTCTCACTTTCCTGCCTCTCTCTTCAGAGCATGCCCAACAGTTCTCTGCTCAAAATATACTCAAGCTTAGGGGAGGGATCACTGCTCTACCCTTACAGGAAAGGAGCCAAGATCACATCAACCCTTGCTCCTTCTTTGGAAAGGGATTTTAAGCAGTGTAAAGATATCTGTACTCCTTTGATTGATAGCTGGTACATGAGGAGCAAGAGGGAGCACCACAGCCCCTTGCAATCCACCCCAGCTCCTCCACCCTACCCTGCAGCATTGCCAATGCYGCTGCAAAATCTGATTTTCACCCATGCCACAGAGGAACGCTGAGCTAGCTCTTGTCTTTGCTCACCGAAGCAGCTTCCTGCAGCAGGGTAGGACCAGCGTGGGAGAAGGGATATGAATCACACCAAGATGTTGACTCACTTCTTCGGTGTGAGCTCGGGCAGCATGAAGGGTCCTGCTAGGTCTGAATCACTCAGGCCGTCTACCTCAGTCAGGCTCATTAAGTACCACTGAGCAGCCTTATAGTTATGGAAGTTGCTCTTTATTCTGAAACTACTCACTTTTTGCAAGGTGCCAGCTGAGTCCTCTTGCAGGGTGACAGAGATTTCAGGGTAGGCTGGAGAAAAAACGAAAAACCCGCTTATGAAAGGGATACTGAAGGTCTTCCAATGAAAGTCTCATTTCATCAAGCAAGCATATATTGAATCCTACACCTGGCCAGCTACCTGGCAGGACAAGAGCTTGTAGAGCTCYGGTTCAAGGTGAAGGAAGTGGTTTACAAGCATAGATCAGCAGCATCTACCACACCATCATCTTTCTAAAAATTCTTGTGTTGCTTTCCTGGAGATGTTATCTAAAAGCAGCCTACAGTCATAGTTCTGGTAACACAGCAATTYTTTCAGGGTTTTCTGAAAAAAAAAGAGCCATTGTCCAACTGTTGTCCCTTCAGATGTTTGCAGATCAAAGCCCTSAGTGAAAATTTTCATCACTTTCTGCTCCTGTCACCTTCCCACCCCCAAACCTTGGGTGACCTGGGTGACCTTGGGTACCAGCTTCCACAAGTCATCTGAGCAGATTCAGGACAACAGCAAGCCACAGGATGCCCTACAGGAAACCCAGGACTTAACTTCGCATTAAAGCAGCAGGTTTCTGAAGACCACATCCACAAGGAATGGAAAAAGCGTTTGTTTGTTTCTTTTGTTTTCACAGCATTAAAATTGTAGCCATATTTGATCGTATCAACAAAAGCTACTAGAATTACTACCATAACATTTCTAAATTATTAAACCATGCCTTTGCAGTCACTGGTTGTGCAGTAATATTAAGCGATTTATTACAGAAGAACTGTTAAAGCTGTGATGACATAAAGCGACTCTCAGAAAAATCATTCTTCTGGCCTTTTCTGAGCCCTGAAATTGGCTGGAAACAAGCACACACCCTGGATCACCAAACAGGTCTGACTCTTTCTCTTCCCAACCAAAGAGTGCATTTACTCTCTACCTCTGCATCATTCTTCTTTTCTTCTTTCTCTTATTTTGTTTTCAAGCCTGCTAACCAATACAGAGCCACTTCCATCCATTACTTCCTTACTGGGTTAATGTGTTGATGTTTTTCTATCTCTTTATATGGTGGATCCATCTAAGACTTAGTATAAGGAAAAGAGTATTTTAAAATTTTGTCCTTATTTCTGTCCTTTCAAAACAAGATTGTGGCTAGCAGGCAAGGCAACCATTGCTTTTCAAAAGTAAGAAAAAAAAAAAAAGAGTATATGGTAAATTGAGGCTTCTAAAATAGCTGAAAGTTGGCAAGAGTTTAAAATACCATTTAGTCAGTTTCCTGTTCTGCCTTTTCAGCCTTTTCTTTTTTTTCAGTTTGATTAGAACAGGGTATGTCTTTCCAAATATGTATTGCATACTGATCTCTTTCAGAAGACACATTTTGGGTAATTATTCTGTACGGCAACTTCCAAGCAAAGCTCTGAATCATTCAATAGATACTTTCCATTTGACATCTCGGCCCCTGTTAACAGTTTGACATTCATTTGTCTTGCTAGAATATTTACCAATGTTTTGCGTCTAGCAGAAATTCAATATTTAGTATAGTGGTTTCTGCTGCTGAGCTTTTACTCTTACAAAAAGGATAGATCAATATTTGGCAAAGCTAGACATACAAAGGCCAYGCATCTTCACAGAAAGCTGCGTCTGAAAGTACTGTACTCAAGAAAAAAAGAGTATTTTTAAGCATTTCTCTCTAAAAGTGACTGCTTAAAGAAATCACTCTCACCTTAATATCTATATTTACTCAACCTATTGAGTCTCCTGCTGTCAATGAGACTCAGTGATGCTCTCCCTGTCCCTTGCCTGTCAAATCCCTGACACATCATGTRCCAGTACGTCACTGGCTTGCTGTGGCTGGAAAGACTTTGCCAGGTCGCAGCTTCCCTTGGGTCTTTAGTSATGTCCTTTCAAAGCACCAACCTGGCCAATGCCAGGCTCTGCTGACATCACACTTGCTTTCTGCAGYGCTTTAGCTTCTGCTGTGGCCATCTGGGCCTGGATCTACCCAATGGGGTGTAAATGCACATCTCCTCATTCCCTGTTCAGCTTTGGCACTACGAGCAAGAGAGATGCTGTCAGCTGAAGTGGGTTTTTGTCTGTCCTCGAAAGGCTGAGCCCTTGTGTCAGAAACCAGCCTGTGGTGCCTGGGATGGTGGTGGGAMGTTCAGAAGAGCTCGTCACCACAGGACATAGTTCCTCTTGCTTGCACCTCTCTCCTGCCGTGCTGCCATGCTCAGGGGTGCATGCACAGGCAGCCATGCGTGACGCAGTAACACAGAGAATAAGGCAAATAATAAATACAGCAACCTTATAAATTAACAGATACAAGGAACAAGGCAAGATTGTCAGCAGAGGAGAGTTCAAGTATGTCAGTGTGCTTGAATGATTACCTAGGTAATGCTGTAGCTGCTTGACAAACATGACTAAATCATGCAAATGCAAGAAAAAAAACCTCTTCTCATTTCTCTTGAAACAGTGACCAAGAGCCCCCAAAAGAGATGGTACTTTTTCCAGCACACCTTGCTGAATCTCTCTTTGCACTCTGGTTGCCAGCCTTGCATAGATGCCCTATTCCAGAGCCTATTGCTGCAAGCACACATGGTTAAGGCAGTGTAGGCAGAACCTCTGCCCAACGCCCAGTCATTTCAAGAGTGTTGGAAATATATTTTCCAGATGCACTTCTCTGCAAGCAGAAAATGCAAAAATGCAGCCCTGTTTTCCACTGGCAGCTTTGTTCTCACTAAGCTGCAGCTCAGCACTTGCAGAGCTGTTTCTAAGCTGTAAATACACGGAAAAATATCTGGTATTTCTTCAGAAGTGACTACCCTCATAATGAGATAGGAGTTGTGCATTTGGTCATGCGAGAGCACAGCTGGCACAAGGCCCTTACCCAGGACTCTCACTGYGGTGCTGCTCTTGCGGGTTCGCTCTGGATGGTACACCACATGGCACGAGAAAACCTTGCCGTCATCAGAGAGCTTGGTGGGGAAAATCCTTAGGGAATTATCCAGACCCAGGTGGATTCTTTCTCTGTGCAACACACTGCTGTTCTTGTACACTTCAGCAGCGGCAGGATCCTTAGCTACAATTTCTTGTTTTCTTCCATTTTCCTCCTGTGAAAAGAGCAACCCAGGCAAGGCGTGAAGATGGGGCACTCCATGCTCCTTCTGCAGACAAATTCTCTTCCCATCACAAAAATCCTCCCTCTCACCCCTCACATCAAGAAGTAACTTTAGGAGTAACTGGGCATTTGACATGTGTTTTCCCCAAATACTGTCTTTTTGTGAGTAGATCCTCCAGACTTTCAATACCAATAGCAGTTATCACCATATCAGTGGATTGTGGTGTAGATTATGGAGAAGCTGTGCCTTCTTAGGGATGGTCTCTGTAATCTGCACAGAGAGCTAAAGAGCTTCTTTCTCACTGTATAAATCATGCTGAACACCCCATAGTATTAAATATGGGGGAAATTCTGGGACTATCCTTGGGCATTTAAGCTTTACACAGTGAAAACCTGTGTGCCGGTCATTCTGTTATGCAGGCGTAATCAGGACATGCTGGACATTTGTGCCTCAATGCATATTTACAAGTAGCACTCTGAGTGACACATGGTGCCCTACACATGCCATGGTGCCAGTCTTCTGGTTTTCTCCCTTCTTTCTACTACKTGGCTCTGCAGTCTGAACCCTCAACACTGTGAAGTGTTAATTACAAGCACCTTCCATAGTCTGGCAAAGAGATGGAGATTTACTTGGATAAAGAGTTGGTTTAGAAAAGAAAAAAAAAAAGTAAAATACAAAAAAATCAAAAGCCACTTTTAAGATATCCTCCAACAACAAGTCCTCAGTTATAGGTGACAAYAGAAAACAACTAAAGGACACAGCTCAAGGATACCAATGAGTGATACTTGTCTCCAAATACTGAAACTAATAGTAAAAATAAGATACAATACAAAAATATCTTAACATATCTTGACAAATTGCTTAAGAAAATGGTTTTAAGAGGTCAGATAGATAAGCGGGCTTGCATGACTTTTGCCTGCATCTGGGATGTGGTGGTTAACAGAAAACAAAAACACTGTGGTCAGCCTCACCTCCCCCTTTTTTCCTCTTTCAAAGCAGCCTCATATCTCAGTACTCTATGCAGTAACTGACTGTGAGATATTAATACTTCAGTACAACAAAATCCCTCTGATTTTTTAATGCAAAGAATATTTTAGCTCAGTTAAATTTGCTGAGCTCTTTGCCACTTTCTATAAAACTGCTCTGCATGTATTCATGAAAAATTACAGATTCACAGATTCACAGAATATTTAAGGTTGGAAGGGACCTCTACAGATCATCTAGTCCAACCTTCCTGCTCAAGCAGGCACACCTACAGCATGTGGCACAGGGTGGCATCCAGGCGGGTTTGGAAGACCTCCAGAGTAGGAGACTCCACAACCTCCCTGGGCAGCCTGTTCCACTGCTCTGTCACCCTCACAGTAAAGAAGTTGCTCCTCACCTGGAGACGGAACTTCTTGTGCTTCAGCTTGTGGCCATTACCCCTCGTCCTGTCGCTGGCCACCAGTGAAAACAGCTTGTCCCCTTCCTCCCTGCATTCTCCCTTCCTGAACTTATACATATTAATCATATCCCCTCTGAGCCGTCTCTTCTCCAGAGAAAACAGGCCCAGCTCACTCAGCCTCTCTTCATACGAGAGATGTTCCATTCCCTTAATCATCCTGRTTGCCCTTCTCTGGACCCTCTCCAGAAGCTCCACGTCCCTCCTATACTGGGGTGCCCAGAACTGCACACAGTACTCCAGGTGCRGCCTCACCAGAGCTGAGTAGAGGGGCAGAATCACCTCCCTTGACCTGCTGGCAACATCCTCCTGATGCAGGCCAGGATCCCATTGGCCTTCTTGGCCACGAGGGCACACTGCTCACTCATGGTTAACTTGGTGTCAACCAGGACTCCCAGGTCCCTCTCCGTGGAGGTGCTTTCCAGCAGGTCGACYCCTAATCTGTACTGRTGCCTGGGGTTATTCCTCCCCAGGTGCAGGACCCTGCACTTGTCCTTATTGAACCTCATGAGGTTCCTCTCTGCCCAACTCTCCAGCCTGTCCAGGTCCCTCTGGATGGCAGCACAGCCCTCCGGAGTGTCGGCCACTCCACCCAGCTTGGTGTCAKCYGCAAACTTGCTCAACTTGCTCAAAATTAAAAGCAATTAAGATGAAATTTTCCCTCTCTGCTTGTTTAACACCTATTGTTTGCAGTGTTTATGTTGCAAAACAGCATTCACATTTTTTCCTTTATTATCACAGTCCAACTCTACTGACATCTTTTGTTTAACATATTCTATAGGAAACAGTCTAACATTTCTATTTCCATTTCTATTAAAAAAAAGCACACTTCTTTCTTCCTAAATCTGTACCTAAGATGAAAAACAATTATACTTACCACTAGCCATTTCAAAGGATAATTGGACAGATCTTCTGAGGTTGCATTCCCAAGGCATGGAATTTCTAAAGTCTTGTTTAACTGTACTTCCTTCACATAATGCTGCTCCTCTTTTGCCATCGCAACAGTGACAACGACAACAAGAATAAAAAAAAGTCCAAGAAGGAAAATCAGAAACGTGGTGTCCACTGGGCTTTGGGAGATGATCTTGGCTACTCTTCTGGTCAAGGAGCAGGTGCTTTGTTTTGTCTAACTGGGAACTGGGATTTTCAGCTATTTCCCATAGACACACTGATGAAGTGAAAGTCTTGCACACAGTCCTAGATGCAGCTTCAGGGCTAATTCACAGCTTTACCATTATTATTTTTTTTTTTTTGTGCAATTCATAAAAACCTTAAGTGTTGGATCAAGATATCTCCTTTTGGAACCAATGATTATCTGAAATGTACATTTCTCTCTTACGATTTTTTTCCACTGCAGTAAACCTTCCTGTCAAGTTCACTCATCTGTACTTCCTTGCCTCTAAATTTGTCTTTCTTTGCACTAAGACCTCAGCATGCCAGATGGGTTAAGATAAACCCCATTTTCTGGTCTAGGTGATTCTTCTGCTGGTTTTGAAGCAGAGATCTTCTGCCTCTTGCAAAAATGGAGCCAGAGCAAGAGGGTGACAAACCCGAYGGTCCGGAAGCTGTGCCACACCAAGCTGAGCAGCCCGTCCCCATCTAGGATGCAGGCAATGCAGGGATCGCTCAGCTCTGCCTCTGCTTTCAGCCACAGCCCTTGATTTCACAGCTGGGAAGGGAAGCCTGCGTGCCTGCCACAAGGATGGAGACACTGGCCCAGYCAGCCTACATTGCTGTCACCCTTGGCTGGTCACCCTCCACCACCATGAGTCTCTCAAGCCTTTACTGCTGTGATGTGGGTGATGGTTGGCAAGCCAAAACCACCACATGGCAAAATTTTATTTTCTTTCTTTGCACACCCTTTTGATCCTTTCACCTTCGGTCAATCTGACTTACATGCTGAGACAGAGAGACTTTTTTTTCTCYTGGGGAAGGGAAGGTATTTAGCAGCACCAGATTGCTACATTATTTGRCAGTGGGGACTTTTTGGTGACGGTAAATTCCTTTTTCCCCAGGCAGCAAGCGCGAGGTGACGGTACCATCACACCCAAGATGACAGTGCTAGCATGCTGCTGGAGTCCCACCAGGCAGCCAAGGAGCCAGTCATCACAGCAGGATGAAGAGCTACCCCTGACATCATGGGGTAACGCGAAAGGACTAATGAAAGGGCTGAGGATGCACGGCATCTCCAGGAAAAAGCAGCGTAGGAAACATTGCTAGGACAAGCTCATGTGCAAAAGTGCCATGCAACGTGCAGGAACAACATGAGAAGTACAGAGGTGAATATTGGTTCAAGACCTCAGTCTGCAAAGCACCTCTCACAGTCACATGCTGTGACTGCTTATTTTCCCCTCCATCTCTTATTCCTACCTCCATTAGCTGTGTTTTGGCTAAGACCTTCTATGTTTGTCAGCCCTATGTATGGTTGTTGCTCTGCAGACTTTGTGCAGTGCCTACCAGCTGAATCCATCTGGAGCCACTTCACTTTGATGCAGCTGAGAGCTGCGCTTTGTTAGTGACTAGTACCCTTCTCCATCCTRCTCTTAGCCTTAAGGTCTTTTATTGTCTTCTCTGTGGAAGTGGTTCACTGCAAAAGTCTGGTTACCTTAAAATACAAATCTGGTAGAGATATGTTACTAACTAAACGTTTTAGTTCTCTCTAGCAGACAGTAGCAGAGTTTGCTACATCATCAGATGATGAAGAAAAGCACAAGGATGCTCATATGAACAACAGCTGCCTACATTTAACATATGTAGACAGCAGTAACAGGATGGAAGATGTCAGGATAAATGACAGGCATCAGCAAGGGAAAAAGAGTCTAATTATTGCTATTACTATATAAAGGAATGGACAGACGGAAATTGCCGGAAAAGAACAGAAAAACAGATTCTCAGTGTATGCATTTCCTTTCTTTCCTTATTTCCAGGGGTCTCAGGAGCAAAGGGTTATCCCATAGTCTTAATACAAGGATAGAGCATTGTCTGTGTGGAAGCTTATGCAGCCTCACTCACAATATCCTGCACATTTACACAGTTCCTCCTTAACGTGACTTGACTTTAACAGGGGAGAATTTCACAGCTGACACAGATGCTGCTTTCACCGCTGCTCTCTGCCCCTGCCCAGGTCACCTGTTGCTGCCACTGGTCCCAACACGTGAAGTCCTGCTCTGCCAGCAGTCCTAGGGGTAGCACTAYGCAAGGACTTGCCAATCTTTTTTGTTTTCCTACATAATTTCATATCTTTCAGGATGAATGAAGTTTCCTAATCACAACCTGGGTAACAACAGCTAAAGAGCCCCTGGTAAATAAGGAACTAAGCAGGCAATGGCATGCAGTGCAGCATTGCCACTCACAACCAAGTCAGGACACTCGGAAACTTTCTTGTATCCTGCTATTCCCTCCCAGCCTTGGTTATGAAAAATCAACATCTCATTGATAACAACTTACCTTCTGGCACCACAACAAGCTGGATGCTGTCAGTCTTTGTCCCCAAGGGAAAAGTAGCAAGGTTGCACTCGTACTGCCCGCTYAGGGAGAAACTAATGTTTCTCAGGTGCAGAGCATACTGGTTGCACTCCAGAAGGGTTTGGGGGCTAGAGAAACACCAAGCATCTTGAGCTTCACTGCTGCAGCAGTTCCTGATGCTGAAGGACACCGAAAAGTTGGAAGACATCTCATGAGATTTAAAGTACAGGGCGCCGTAAATCGGGTGATAAACAGCTACTGCAACGGGATGGTTGCCATCAGTCTTTGACCAATGCACCTGCACTACGTGGATGTGATCTGATCTTGGGAAGCTGCACACAAGGGTCACGTCGGTACCTGGTAGAGCATGGACCACTTTTGACTGTGTGATGATGTCTTGAAGATGGCCTTAGAAACAAACAGGACAACTTTCAGTGCAAGGAAAACTTAAGGAGAGCTCTCTCCTAACCTGCCTTTGCCGTGGCTTGGTGCACTAGCTAGAGATAACTGTCAGGACAGTAGATTCGGGTCTGGAGAGGTAACCACACTTTCCAATGAGATTTAGAGTAGGGAGAAGCAGATCACCCSTAATACAAACTGCAGGCAAAGAGCTGGAAAAGCAAATGAGCAGTATTTTGAAAGAGGCGAGGGAGTTCCCATCACAAGAGCTGAAGAGAAATGGGAGCTCCGAGASGCCCTGTGAAAAACGGAAATCTTTCAAGGATATAAATAAAGCAGAAGCTGGGGCCACTTATTCCCCAGCTCCTTTTCCAAGAACAAACGAATTATCCCTGCTGGCTAATTTCGCCTCGAACAATTCCATCTGCCTATTTCTATTACCTTTGCTGGTTTGACAGGGAAGGCGATTCTTTTATCTCCACATTATTAAGCTGCTCCTGCATGGCCTCGACGAGTGTCCACTTTGGCCTCAGAGGGAGCAGCCCCTGTACCTGTGCTTTCTTCCCAGCTAATTTCRTGCAGCATGTTGGCAGCCCTTCGTGTGCCGTATAAAGCACTGGAGAAATAAAGGGACTTTCTGTGCTTATTCTACATGTTTTTTGCTGCTGCTGCTGTGAAGCTGATTTTGCCCTCCTCTCCCTACCAAGAACAAGAGGTCTGCAGTCCCCCACAGGGTTCCCCAAACCCGTGTGCTACAGGGCTCCAAGGCAGCTGAGGCAGCCCAGGTAATTCCTGTAGGACACAGAGCGSCCCTTGCCACCCCACACGGGGACATGACAGGGACCCTGCGGCACCCGCGGCCCAAAGCTCTGGTTTGGGGCCAGGAGAAGCAGCTCACGGCACTGCAGAGCCGACTGGGATGTGGGGTCTGACCACGGAACTGCGACACAGGCACGCAGAAAACTGACGCACGGGAAATAAAACTAGTGCATGCTCAGGGCAAACGCTCGTCCTGGGGTTTCATCTGCGTGCACCCAAARCTAATCTTTCAATTAACTTCCAAGAGGCGGGAGGCTGAAGAAGAACAAGCCTGGCTGGACAACTGCTCTAAGGAAAACTACTGAGTCCCTTTTCCATGGGGGTCAAGGAGCTTATTAAAGCAAATGCTCACTGATTTCATGGTAAGTTTTGCATGAGTAAAAGTTGAATAAAAACTAATTATCACTCTTGGGATCAGAAYGGCAAGCAAAAGAGACAAACTCTAAGTCCCCTACTTAGTAACTTATCTATAATGTTCATATTGATGCTCCCTTAGGCTAAAGGACCATGTAAAGATTGCCTAACAAGAATTACTTTAGTATTTTATATTAAGATGAAAACGTCACATATCTAGAATCAACATTTTATCTTTTTTATTTATTTTTGTTAATACCTTAGCTCTGCAGGCTACTTTAACAAAGTCGCTTTCATGCAAAGGTGTTTTAATCTTTTTGCCAGCATGTTAACATAAGAAGTCTATTTTTAAGCGGACTTCGTATATCCAAGTCAAGTCTGTGCATTAGCTCATGTCTGGGCTCCATGGAATGACTCCCAGATGTTTACATCCCTATGGAGGTAAGTAGGGTGGCTACTTTCACCTTTGAAAGTCTTCAGTGAGGATTTCATCCGAAGAGGGAGGAAAAAGTCTGTTTTTCCCCAAAATAATTCACTCCCCTGTCTAACTACCCACCAGAGTATGTGTGAGGCAGAGACAGTATTTAGTTGCTCTTAGAAAGAACAGTTTTCCTTTTAACCTGCTTGAAAGAGTCACATACTGCCCCAAACATAAACAACATCATCCCAACAATTATTCTGGTGAAAACAGGCTATATATTTTGAATAAAATGATTAATTAGCCTACATAAACTATTACTTTTTAGCTGTGCATTATAACTAGAATAGTTAGTTGCTGCTAAACCCCAAATCCTTGCTAGTAGGTAGAGCTTAGCTCTAGCGAGATACACGAGCGAGCTTTTCAACCTGGGGCTGCCAATGCCCCCATGCCCCTCAGCACCCTCCTCAAAGGTTGAGCAAAGCTTTTCCTCTGGCACTCACCTGTGACAGCGGGCACGGTGACACAATAAAACATGGAGAAGAGCCATCTCTTTTCCATGTTCGCTTTGCTGGTGAAGTCGCGCTGAATATTTTGTATTCTCTGGGCCTGCTCCCCGCACCTTTGCTGAAGAGGAAGTCAAAACTGTCCGTCCCGAGCAGACAGGCAGATGAACGACTCTGCCAAGCTCTTCACTTTAGCATGACTTCAAAGAAACGTTTCACTCAATGTGAAAGCCTCAGTTTCCTGTCAGAGCAATAGAGTTAGTAYGTCTTGTGAAACTTTCATTTCTAAGGCCCTGTTCAGTACATTTCATTTTCTTTTTTTCCCTTGCTTTTACAGATAAACTCAGAATAAATAGTGTAGCGTGTTAAACACACTGTTCTTGAGAGACAGGTAGGCAGGTGTTTAAGGTTGAATACATGGCACAGAGCATACAAGAAGAGAGTCTTCTTTTTTTTTTTTTTTTTTTTTTTTTTTCTGATTCACCTTCTTCACACGTTATGCCAAAAAAGATTGTTTCCAATTTCCCTACATTCACTGGTTTTAAAAAAAAACGATAAAATATCAAAAATAACCTCCCTAAACTAAAACAGAGTTTGTTGAGAGCTTCCATACTCGCTTCTTTATGGGGAAAGGTTAATTATGGGTGTAAGTTCCATCTCCAGGTGAGGAGGARCTTCTTCCCTGTGAGGGTGCCAGAGCCCTGGCACAGGCTGCCCAGGGAGGTTGTGGAGTCTCCTTCCCTGGAGGTCTTCCAAACCCGCCTGGATGCCGCCCTGTGCCCCGTGCTCTGGGTGTCCCTGCTGGAGCAGGGGGTTGGACTGGATGGTCTCTAGAGATCCCTTCTGTGAACATTCTGTGATTCTGTGATTATTTTCTGCATTGAGGAACTGCAGAATTGCCCATGACGGCGTCACTCAGCGTGGTGTGCCAGCTGCACCCTGTCTCAGGAGGTRCCTTTGGTGCCGTGGTGCTCTCAGGATGAAGCCTCTGCCAGAAGAGGCTTCCAGACTTCCAGGCAGAAGCCATCTTACTCCAGGCCAGTTATAAATCCTTCCAGATTGYCTTGGAAGTATTTTTCATTTCCACAAACTAGGCATACACCTATCAGCAAAGCATCCCGTTAAAGACAGGTCTTGGGCAGTAATTCAGGTTCCTGAAACCATTCCCTGCAGCCTGACTTTATTTACTGCTTTCTTCCCTGCTTCCCACAGAGTTTACTGCTKGTTCAAATACAGGCACGAGCACATCTTCATGCTTCAGTAACACTCAGAAGCAGATCCAAGAAGCAAAAGTGAGAGGAGAATCTTYGTAAGAGCAACATCTCCTCAGGCAACACTCACCTGATTCCCTTTCTCATCACTAAGATGGTTCAGTGAAGACATCCACTTRAAAAAGAAAAAAAAAGAAAAAACTACTTTTCACGGGAAAAAACAGCTCAGTGTTCTGCCTCAGAGGGTCAGAAGTATGGTTTTGGTTTATACTAAAGTTTTAACCACAGTAGTCTTATGCTGGGGCTGTGTCAATGCTGTCCCGAAACGTTTGTCCTCACTCTCCGGCACCGCATGGCCATGAGGGTGCTTTGCCACCAGCCTGTTGGACAAAGGTGCTCTGCGCACGTTCTTGAAGACAGACGGTGCGCTGGGCATGCCAGCATGAGTCCAACATTTCCAGGGAAGATTCTCCAGGGGTCAACCCAGCATATTCCTCTCYGCTTCTGCTGTATGTTGCATGGCCATCACAGAGGCAACTGGGGGCACCTGCTAGGGGTTTTTGGCAAGAAAATAGATTTAAGCTTTTGCCTGTCACATTTCTTTCCACAGGRAGGACATCTCACCTACACATCTTGCACCTACAGTATCTGATGGCTTTCTCAAATGCTAAGATCTGCCTTCAGACACCCAGCTAAGCAGSGACCTGGTCATTCCTGTTGCAACCCTTCCCTGGAGCTTGTGGACAAGGCTTCGACAATAAGTGAGAGCTGATTACAGCCCATCTGTAGGGCAGAGTTTGTTCGTACAACGAAAGTGAGTGATCTGACTGACTAAAAGCATGGTCACCCAAGTGGATGCCTCTCTCCATCAATGGTGCCATGACTTCAGCGGCTGGTCCACCTGAGGGTGACCCAGGTCCTGAGGTTTCTTTACAGAAAGCAGTTCTGTAAAAGGTGCTGTCAGCCCCGATCCTTTTGCAGCACCTCCCTTGGCTTGGGCAAGGTCTACAAAAATAGTTTAGCCACCACCAGGAATTTTCTTCCTAACAACTTTTAGTTTCCTTTCTGACTACCCACCTTCGACTGACCATGGGGCTCCCCACAGCTGCAGCAAGTCACAGAGCAGAACAACAACAAAAAAAAAAAAAAAAAAAAAAAAACACAAAACAAAGCAAAACAAAAGAAAGAACAAGCTCACTACCTATTTCCCTGTTTTGCACACTACCACTTGTAAGCAACATCTCTACCACTTCCCTAATCTGTGCGTATGCAATCTTTTGGTTGCCCTTTAGATCAACGAGATTAGTGCCGGCAAGGCTAAGGCCAGGTCTGCATATACATGTCTTAGAGGTTAAATGTTAGAGCACTGTTCTCTTTTTGCATGCATTATTTTCCTACCTGAGGAACCACACTAAAGGCAGTTACACTAAGTGGTTAGGGAATTACTGGTTAGGGAATATGAGCAAGGGCTGAAATCTCAGCTTGTCACTCAGAAGCATGACAGAAAAATATCTGTCTCTGAGGATCAGGAAGCCCTGAATCACTGAATGCACAGAATATTCAAGTCACTGTATTTACCAGAAACAGAAAAGAGAAAAAAAACTTAAAGGTATATATTCTGGTTTCCAGTTCAGAGCAGAGGCCACAAAGAAACTGGGGACTATTTGCAGGGACTAGAGCCCAAGAAAATTGGACTTAAATSTAAAATTAGGACTTTCTTTCAGTCATGACTGCAGTTATCTTTGCTTCTTCTGCTGATCAGTTCTTSCAAGATTTATAGTTACTAAGAGTAAATGTATTTTGTGCAACATGCAGGGAAAAAAAGAGATCTCAGGTGATCCATTATATTGATCTCAAGCATACATTGCAATCTGACAAGATAGCACAAACACCCTGTGGTATATTAAATAGTCACAGACAAATCCCTGAGCAGCTCCTCCGAGTTACCGGATCATTATGTCTTGCCCTTAGAATTTKTTTCCCACCCTAAAATAGCATCCTGACAATATTCTGCTGCCATGACATCTTTCCTTGGCTGAACCCAGCCACTGAGGGTTATTACTGAGATTGGTGAAGAAAGCAAGAAAGAAAAGACAGAAAACTTCCACCTGGAGGGATTTTTGCTCCTTCCAAGACTGCACTTTGCCACATTTCCTACTTTTAGCCCAAATTGTGACGTCGTCATTCGCCGCACTATTGATTTGCGTGTACAGCCGTGCACAAGGGCAGCAAAAATTCCTTCTCAGACGTGCCACTTCCCTCAGTCTGCCAGCAGGGAGCTGTCACTTCTCAGAGTAGACACGAGTCCCTGCTCTCAGCGACGCAAAGTGTTTGGAGAGCTTTTTTTTCCTTTTTTTTTTTTTTGAACTCCCTCCTCAAAAGTTACTTACGARTATCTTAGGGGCTCTCGCGCACTGTTACACACCGGACGGCAGGGTAGGGATGTCTGGGGTGATGTGCAGACAGGTCAAAGCGGCCCGGGGAGTGGCAGCAAGCCGGCAGAGGCAACACCAAGCACCGTGCATGGCTCCAGGCATCCCTGGGAACRACCCTGGCAGTGCCCTCCAGCCACCTCCCCTGCCTCATGACGATATTTTATTCCTGTGGGTGAAGAGAGGGGCAGGTAGCAGTACCGGGGTGTCCCTATAAGTGTTTTCCGCGGATTCGGCCACCGCTGGAGCTGGCATTTTGAGTGTGACAAATGGCTCCTTCCGTGGCAGTCATCTCTATTATGCGTCATGTTCACAAAAACCTCAATTGCAGCAGTTCTTCCTGCTCCATTACAGTAAGCTGCATCCAAGGAGGAAGCAGAGCTGCAGTCAGTCCTGAAGAAAAAAAAAAAAAAAACAAAAAACCAAAAAAGCCCACTGAACTCCAGAGAAAAATTCAATTATTCACAAAGAGAAGCCTTTCAGAAACACTGGTGCGCAAGCTATTCCTGCCAGAGGCGAGGATGATTACCCTTGCAGACTAGTGTCCTCTAAACATTGCTTAAAGAAAGCGCTACTCCCTGGTGGAGAAGTGGTGGAGGCTTTGAAGCAGGAATTTCATTAAGCAGGAGACTAACCTTCCAGGGGCGCTTGTCGCTTAGCACAAATACTCCAACTTTGTCATTGCGTTTTGTTTTYGGACTCCTTTGAAAACCACACTAATGACTCCATTGCCACCAGGCAACTTTCAGCAAAGCAGCTCCTGTCACCGCAGCCGTGTGAGCAGGGCAGGGAGCCTTATCTAGGGAACRGGCGGGGGGGAATTTGCTTTCCAGGTTCCTATCTGTTTTACTCCAGTGACCTTCAGCTTCCTCGAACTCCTCTTCCCACTCTTAACACTGCTGCTTGTGGCTAGAAGGTGTTTAAAGATCTGCATGGACCGTTCATGCCTCCTCCCTCACTGAAGGCCTAGAGCAGGAGTGAAAATTAAGGGCAGCTCTGTCACAGCCACCTTCTTCTCTTGGTGCATGGTCCGTGCTGGCTCCAGCGCTGCTCATCCTGCCTTTCCCAGTCCCGCAGAATTAAAGACAACTCTTTCTACAAACATTTCATTTGCCATGACGTCCTGCAGACAGTTTTGGGCCAAATCTAAGCAGATGACAGCTCTTTAATTATGCCTTTTGGTCATCCCGCTGGTAAATATTGCTTCCTTCACATCAGAAGTTGGTAACTTGCCTGTGAATTGCCTTGCCTAAGGCTACAAGAGAAAGTCAGTGGACAGACAGGCAAGAAGCACAGTCCTTTGGTCCTCACCTCCTGCTGCCTGTGGAAACAGAACCTTTCAGGTAAGTCAAGGAGGCATCTTTACCTCATCAAGGAGAAGCATGATGACCCTGCAGAAGTCTCCTCAAGTG